TGGAAATAAGGCTGCCTCAGCCGGAGCTCACAGAATATCTATGAGTAATACTCGTTGTCTGCGTCAGAATGCTGTTTTTGCAGAACCTGCGGGTGCAATTGTGAAAACATGTTTCTTCTTCAACTGCATCTGGGATGATAGGACTTGAAAATGATAAGGAGTGATGCCAAACCTTTCTTTCACGAGACTGCTGATTTCATCGGAACTTGGTGTCTCGAAGCGTCCGGACTGCATACAAAATAAGAAAAGAAAAAGTCACGGTCACATTTCTGTTTTTGAGTGAAAGACGTCGGATTTGGTGGCAATCTTCGGTGGTGCAGATAAACCAAAATCTGGCGCCACTACAAGTTTTGCCAGTCGGCCATATGTGTTATGCTCAACTCAAGTTTCGGTAAAGTCTCGGATAATTATATAATCAAATTATGTAATCGCAAGCACTAGGATATAGCATACACACATATGTCGACTGGTTTGGAGTCTGGGCGCAGACAAGCTTTTCCGAAAACGCTGTAACTTTGGCCACTAAATCACGCGAGGCGTGCGACTGTACATCCTCAATAGTAGACCGCTTACCCCCGCCGCGGAGTCCCGTGCCCAATAGCGGAACGACAAAAAACGCAGTCGTGAATTATAAGTTTGCTAGTCTTACAACAGTTTCGACTCTTACCTCGCGTTTGTTATATCTCTTCAAGTTGCTTGAGCGCCTATACTCCTGATATGTTTACTATGTTTAGACAAGCTACGCGGTCTCGTTTGTCATTTCCTTCCAGAACGGTGAGAGGACTTCCCTCGCTCCAAGCTGCTCCTCTTTCTCGGACCATCGTCAGTATGTATTTTTTATCTGTTTAGACGAGGTTATTGTAATTGGTGTGCTCACAGCCAAAAAGTACACCGTTGAGCACGAGATAGTTCAATTCGATGACGAAACGCACACGGGAGTGGTCTCTATTACGGACCATGCACAGTCAAGTTTAGGAGACGTAGTATTCGTCGAGCTTCCAACTGTAGGAAGCCAGGTTACGCAGGGTGGTCTGTGCATTTGTGCTATGCAAGCCAACCAGTGTCTCAAGTAATGGTTGGATTTTTTTTACAGACCAAATTGGGGCCGTCGAAAGTGTGAAGGCAGCTTCGGACATCGTTGAGTTCTTTCTTTTCATTGGCTTAGATATTCGTGAACATTATTGTTAGTATGCACCGGTATCGGGTGAAGTTCTTGAAGTCAACGAGAGATTAAACACGGAACCTGGACTTTTGAACAGATCTCCAGAGGATGAAGGTCAAATTTATTATCTAATGAAAGGCGCATAGTGGGTAGCTCATTGCGTATTTCTAGGCTGGCTCTGTAGAATCAAGCTGTCCACGCCAAGCGAGGCAAGTTAACCGTTTTATCATCAGTTCGTGCGTGAAAAACCACAGCTGATGCAATCTGCCTTGTTATTAACAGGTGGATTCTCTACTGACACTTGAAGCGTACAAGGAAACTTTCGAATCATAATTTCAATTAGATTACATTCAGTATTGAGGCTGCTTTCTTTTGTTCCACACTTCAACGTGTTTATGGAATACACCCAAGGGCACTTCTTGACAGTCAGAAAATGTATTCGAGAGAAACAGCTGAGTGAAATAGTTATCACTGTCGCAATTGAAATTACGGTATTCGCCCCTGTTCGACAACAGAGAATTGGCAGGGACTTGGAAACCCCATAAAATCTTATCAAACATGGTCTAATATGTAAATGTCAATCAATTTTGGTTACGTCCGTGGATTATCGAGGATCAGATTGATCTCCTACGTTTCATGGTTCCAAAATCACTCAGTCAGAACTTCGCCGATGAACGCCCGCATACGAATCAATTCTCTACAATGTTGGTAAACCTTTAGTGTCGGTTGACCGTCGAAGGCCGACAGCATCAGCTTGATCTATCCAGTCCTGATGGCTGCTGGAACCTTGATGAACCTTGACTTGCAATAACAAAGAGTGTGAAAAGTGCAACCAATTACTTTGAGAGTAGAAAGCGTTCTTTTTCATATCTCTGAGTTGAGCACTGCTGACGATTAATCGTTCTGTTTCAGTGATGATATCAGTCAGCCGCGTCCATGCTAATGATGAATATGATTTTCCAGGTTTGGTACTGATTTTGCTACCCGAAATGCATAGGAAAGGCCAGACACTTCGATACACTGTCCAACTAGAACCGTATTTCTGGTGCGATCCGAACTGTACGACATGAAAGTGAGGTTGGCCTAAGTGATACCATCCCATCCGTAGGCTTGATTTAATGTCTTTTTTGAATCGACCCCCCACAGTAACATAGGAACCGCGAGGTAATCTTCAAGCTTTACCGAACCCTGCTAAATCTATGTGTGTTTACTTTCACACTTCTCGTCCCAAGGAAAATTGTAATGCAATGATATACAGAGTCTTGTTGACCGAAAATGGAATCAAAATACAAGGTTATGCAAATCAATGGAAAAAGGCAGCCTTAATCAATCGTAATTCGTAACAACAATGCAGGCCATGAAAAAAAAAATAAGATACAAAATCATTGGGGAGGTGGGGAAAGTGCACCATAGTCGTTGTAATCGTAAAATAGTCGTAAAAGCGTAGAAGGAGAAATGATAGGTTTACACTCTCACAATCGTCTAACGCTTCTTGCCCGCCTTGCTCTGGTCCGGTGAACCCAAGAAACCTTCTCTCCCACATCATCTTCTTCCTTTCCCTCAGGCTGTCCTGCCACTTGCACTGTTCTTCGCCTCTTTGTCACCCTCGCTTTGCCATACTCTTCACTCCTAGGGTCGCGGTACTCTATCGGCCATGCAGGTCTCAGCGCAGGGATAGGGAACGGTGCACGTGAATGCTGGACAATCCTGCGCCCGGAGGGTGCCCACGTAGCGCCACGACAGTCAGCGGGGGTAGTGCCGGATCGTAATCGACCGAGCGGAGAATCCACTGCGATCTGGAAAGCGAACTGTGACTCGAGGGCCAGTGAGCACGTCACCGCGGCGGAACCCTCATCTGCAATGTCAGACAGAATGGAGGAGATGTCAAGGTAGGCGGGTGAAGCCGACATCGACCACTCCATGACATCTTGTAGGCCTAGAGTTTTGGGGCGAGTAGTGTTGAACACACCATCTTCGGTGACAGGGGAACACAAGGGAGCATTCACACCCGCACCTTCGTTTACCACGTCTAGCCCTGAACACAATACCACTTTAGCCATCTTCGCAGCTTTTAGACAGTTTCACTCACCTGCAATCCTACAGCTACATCTCCCAGTCTTCTCTTCGAGGCCTGCACATCTCTGCTTCAACTCATCGAGCTCCTCGCCTTGTGATATACAAAGGAATGCCGCTTCCGTCACAGTTCTATCCAAGTCTTCAGCCTTGGTAGTCATTTCCTTTAAATCGTTCTCCACCACGCGATGTTTCTTCTGAAGCTCCTCGTATTGGCTTTCTGCAGCTGTGCACTGTTTTTGTGTGGCGAAGAGCTCCTCACGAACCGTCCTAACCTCGTTAACAAGCTTGTCAGCCTCGAGAGAAAGCCAGGAGACCCTGTCTTGTTGATTAGGAATCATTAAAGCTGGTTTCACCCCTGTAGATCCATACTGCCTCGCACGCTTGGCCCTGACTGGTACGATGTTTGTGAGATATACGAATTCGACCTCTCTCGAGCTAATCGTCCGCACTCTTGTGAGTGCAGTTGCCCACTCAACAGATTTCCCGTTACCTGAATATTGACAAGTATCAAGAAGAGAGGTGAAAAATAGGATAACAATGCTAGAAGGCTTACTAGGAGCCGCCCTATTGGGCGGTAGACAAAGGCCCATCGAATACGCTGAACAATCCGAGTTGTTGAGAGTCGCCATACTGGTCCCAGGAACAAAGTCCGAGGTTGCATCTATCTCTTCAACCCTATTTAACACTGAATTGTCCGAGTCAAGGGTTGCTAAACCAGAGCCGGAAACTTGAGCAGGGTCCGAAGTATTTTCTGTCTCTTCATCCGTGTCTGCAGGGACTAGGTTATACACCAAGCCATTAGGCAAACACTAGGATAAGCGCAAAACACGCACCGTGACTATCGTTGCTGAAGCAAGATCCCGTCGGAGAGGGAGGAGAAATGATGTCTGGAAGCTCATTGCGCCCAGTAGCCGGACAATCTTTAGAGTGGAGGTCTGTGATATAGGTTAAAATCTGGGCATTGTCCGTAAAAAGTAGTACCGACCGCCTTCGTTTAATTTTTCCTTCTTATACATCTCTAATCGTGAGGTCAAGAAGAGTGTTTCCGCCTGCTTGATCCCTAACTCCCACTGCAGTTCTGCATTCTTTCCCTCCAGCTGTCCTACTGAACCACGTAATTTCTGAGCAAGAATCAAACCGATGAGGAATAGCAGCGACATAAAGCGAGTCAAAACTCACTTTCAACTCTTCTATATACTGTTCAGATTGAGCCTTGAGTGTATTGTGTTGCTCTGCCAGGACGACGGCACGGCCCTCTTGTCGCTCCAACTCTTCCTCCATCTGTTCATACTTTTGAACAAGCTCCAGGTACTCGACCTCGAGCCAATTTTCTTTTTTTAACATGGACGTCCGAAGAGCATCCATGCCCCGTCGCCTCTCTTCCAAATCAACCTCATCATCAACCTCACCTTCAGCGACAAAGAGAGCATCCTGTACAGACGACACGATGTCCTCAAAATTCTCGATCTGTTGGTCACTGCTGGACTCGAGGGTGAAAAGCGGTTGCGTAATTTCGATGTCTTCGAAGCCCTTACGTTCAAGCCTTTCAATCCGTTGGTCGCAGTTAAAGTGCAAAGAGAAAAAGGGTTCCACAGCTTCGGTATCTTCAAAATCTTCGTTATCATCCTCGTCCTCGAGCTCATCCTCGAATCGCTGATTGCAGTTAAACGCTACAGTGGAAAGCGATTCCGTGGCCTTCGTGACTTCAAAATTATTATGTTCAATACCCTCGATCCGCTGGTCGCGATGAAACTCCAGAGCGTAAAGCGGTTCCACGACATCAGTGTCTTCGAAGCCGTCATGCTCAAGCTCCTCGATCTCTTGGTTCCATTCAGACTCCGAAGCCAAAAATGGTTCGGTAATGATGACTTCGAAGGCCCTACGGTCGAAATCCTCGACCCCCTGGTCGCAGTTAGACTCTAGAGCAAAAAGTGGCTTTGCCAAAGTGTCTTCAAAGCCCTTCGGCTCGAGTTCCTCGATTCCTTGGTCAAACTTAGCCTCCAAGGCAATATATGGTTCAGTTACTCCGGTCACGGCATCCTCTGAGCTCTCATGCTCGATCCGTGGGGTGGAGTAAGACTCTGGAGCGCACCACGATTCCGTGGCCTCCGTGTCTTGAGAGTTGTCGTCCTCGATATCATCTTCGATCCCTTGGTCAGAGTAGGACTCTAAAGCAACAAACGTTTCCGTTGCTGCGGTGTCTTCAGAGCTTTCATCTTCGAGCTCATCCTCGAGCTGGCTGTCCAGGCGACTTTGCAGTTCGATACGAGCGACGAAAAGTTCCTGAAAGTTGGCCTTTAGTAGTTCCATTCTGTCTTCAGCATTCACTGCCCTAGCTTCCGCCTGGGCACACCGGCGTAATAATTCCTCTTGATTCTTATCAACATATCTCTCCCATACTCTCTGCTTGAATCTTTTGATCCCAAACCGCCTCTTCTTCCTGACACGGAGAATCTCGGAAATAACAAGCTGCTTCTTGTCCCGTGCACCATTCCTATCCCTGGGAGCCGAGATAGGAGATATGCCTTCAATAGTAGTAACAGCGACTGGGGGTCCGTTCGCTGACATAACATCATTGATGGAAAATGATGGCAAAGAAGGCTGATTTTGTAGAAGCAAGTCGACGGACCCGGACCCTACTACACCCACTACAAAACCCCATAGCATAGGCACATACTTGAACAAAAGGATGATGACACATATCAATATCGTCAGTGTGATCTGTAGAACTCGAGCTGCGAGAACCACACAGAAAGAGTCGGACTCCATAATTAAATCGAGCTTGTGGCTTGGGTCAACAGTAGGAGAACCGTTGGATACTGGCATGGTGGTGTGCGAGATTGAATGAATGGATGACCTGTGATAGGACTGTGTGTGGCAAATAGAGGAGGCGTGTAAAAAGAGTATGATGGAGGAGCAAGGGAACACGAAAGCACCTTGCATCTGGTTATGAGGTATTTGTATGCAGCATACGACGACCTGGAGGTTGACTCGAACCACCCAACGCTCGATGTCTTCAATGTCAGTCGCTCCAGTGACAAAAGGGCCGGACTAAGAGGCTGACAAGGGATTTTCTCAATGTCAGCCTCCTGTAGATGGCACGAATGCGCGTCCTACCATGTTCGACAAGAGTGGCAAACTCTCGTCGCGACTCAAAATACCTTGATTGTGATTCTCCCGCGTTGAATTTGTCGCCATCGTGGAATATGAGGAATTTCGAGGTGGAAAAGACCAATGTTAGCATTATCAGTCGTTCTTCAACAAGAAACACACAGGACTGTCCTTGGTTCCTTGGAAGTTGATATTCTGTGAGCCAGCCTCCGCGAATGGTTCTTTTAGTCCTCGCTCTCCTTCTATTCCACAGTACTAGCCTCCTTGTAAATGCCCATGTATGTACCCGCACAGACATGTTCACTATCAATTAATAAAGCAGATTCAAAGCAGTATGTCGCGCACACGCATGGGAAAAATGTCTGGAGAAGCCCGAATCCGCTGGTTCTTTGTTCCGAAATGAGGCGCTGTTTCTGCCTAAACTGTTACTGACTTTTATGTTGGGATGGCGCACCATAAGTATAGCTCATCTTGTGTACTTACTTGCAGGGCAGGCCTGAAACTGGCCGTTAGCTTACAAGAAAAGAACAACTTTACCATGCACTGGCACGTGTACCTGTTGTTGCCCGTGGATGTACTGCAAATGCGAGGAGAGTGCTGATGTGAGGCTGGCTACGCCTGTTCGAACCGCGAGTGTATTTGTAATGCTGTTGATGTGACCGATCTGTCCGAGTGATGGACAGACCTTGGTGTGCGTGCATGACTCGTGAAAATGGAAATGAAGACTACCATGTTTGGACATCATGATTTGAAGTAAGTGACCTATTTGGTGCTGAAATATCTTTGATAGGTACCTACCTATAGAGATCATTAACTGTGCTGGAGATTGACTTGTTCTTTGAGCACGGTATGAAGTTGGTAACGCGTCATGCAGGTAAAAAAATATCCTGTGTAGGATTGGGCGAATCACATTGTGACCTACAAGTCACGTGCGACAGAAATAGTTAGAAGAGCGGTAGCATCTTTGCATACGGAGACGGTGAATAACAAGGAACGCTTATGCGATGCCAATGATCCATCAAGCCAGGTGGCATAGCACATCGCAGCATGAAGCCATCTCACAGAGCAACATTCACGAGTCCGATCTGTCGTGTTCCCCTATCATCAGTGGCTGTGCAGCAAGGACCGAGTACGTGTGACCTGTATGTATGTGCCAAGGACGGCTAAACAGAGGCTCGAAAGGTTAATTTTGGAGATAAGAATATATAGAAAACGAGAATAGGAAAAGAAACATTGGTGTGAGAGACCGGCCGCGGGGAGAGAGGGAGAATAACCGGAGCCTATGTTGTACAGGGTGGGAATAAGGCCACATCAAACACGATGGCCTACAGCGGTCTGCATCATGCCGAGCACGACTCATCGACACTGTTTCGACACAGACCTCCACTGACGACATTCGCGGACTTTCTATTTCGACACTCAGCCTATCACCGCTTCTGATACCGGAACCTTCAATTTCCAATTCCCGGGCGCGCACGTGATGCTGTGCCTCACAAATTGGGCGTGCTGCCAAATATAGCCCGTGCTTGCATTTCTGTGTTGTTTTCGGATGCAATGCCCCGATACGTATGATGGACTCGTCCGAATAAGGCGATGCCGCCGGGAGCGTGTTCATTGATCGTGGGAATAGAAGCGATGGGAGGGTCAGGGCGGGGTTGGGCGATTGGGTTATAAAGAGCCCACCCATCGCGTTGCCAATCTTGATTCAAATCTTTTCCCTCTCTCTCTTCCCCTCCTACGCACCCTATCCTCCCCTAACGAACATCTCAAATGTCCTCGACAATATATAATGTAAGTATTCCGCATTCTATTCCCAGGTTACCCACATCTTTGCGCCATTTCCACATCCTCATGCTACCACTGGTCACCTGCACTTGTCTTTTTCCAAGCGCTTATTTTTGAACCGAGAAAAGCACTGCGTCTTTTTCTTTGTATATGCACATATATTGGCACTCTACATGAATTTATACAATCATACTTGCCTCCTGTCTGAGCTTCCCACTGACATGCTCCCTTTAGCACAGAACGCTTCAGCCATCTGGCCCACCCGCTCAGGGACCTATCAGCCACGCGCGCCTGACAGAATCTTTTGATGCTATCAAACAAGAATTCGATGTCCTCAGCTCAGATTTAAACTTGTTGAGAAACCAGAGAGACGAGTATGAATCAAAAGGTCCGCCCCTCTCATTTTTTCAAATCCTCATTCACCTCTCAATCAGCTTCCCTATTCCCCAAACAGTCACCTCGCAAGTAAACGAACTAAATATCATTCGCCAATCCCTCTACGAACTTGAATCACAACACGGAAAAATCCGCCAACAGTACGAGGATGAGCTTACAAGGCTCCGAACAGAATTGCATGCCGCTCGTTCAGGCGCCCCTTCATATCCATCCGATCCAGCTCTTCGCGCTGATCCTGGCATTCGCGCCGATCCCGGGATTCGAGGAGATCCTGTTATTCGTGCGGACCCAACGCGTGGCGGGCCCTATCCTGACCCCGCAGCGCGAGCTGCATATCCACCGGACCAAGCACCTCGAGTTGGATATGCGGACCCTTATTATGGTCGTGAGAGGGACAAGGAGCGCGAACGCGATAACCGAGACCGAGACCGTGATATGGTCAGGGAGAGGGATTTGGGGAGAGAACGCGAGCGCGATATTAGGGAGAGAGAACGGGAAAGAGACAGAGATAGGCCTGGTGGTGAAGCACCACGTGACGCAAAGCGAATAAAGACTGAGAGGATGAAGAGTGATATTGCGAGAGCTGGTGGGTAGGATTCTTGTTGTCCTTTTTCGAGAAGGCTGTTCTTTCCCTTTATATTCTTGGGCTTCTCGACCTTTTTCATTTGTATATCACGTCTCATTTCTCCCAATCCACATATTTTCCCCTAACTTCGATGCCCTCCACTGCATTTATTCACCAACATTGCTTCAATCCGCCGCTTCCTTGCATTTATCATTATTTCGTTCACTTTTACGTTCTTAAACTAACTACTGCTTACAGATCCCTACTCCCCCTCGTTGAATACTAAACTCCCTCCTGCTCCGGGCCAGTCTTCTTCCATTTCGTCCTCCATTCCACCTGGTCAATCATCACATGCCCCTGCCTCCGTACTACCTCCGCAAGGTCCTTCCTCTTCTCTCGGTCAACCATCATCGAATCCAAATCAGCCACCTCATACACCTTTTGCAGGCCCCGGCCTTCCACCACCACCACCGGCACATGCCCCTTATCCACCCGGACCCGGTAATCCCAACCCAAACGCACATCCACCAGGGGACATAATTGGACACGCATCAAATGGCAGTAGTGTTTCAGGGCCAGGAGGGATGGGCAGTCAAGCGCTGGTTCCCGCCGGGCAGCAGACTGCAACGCAGTTCCCTGATGATCTTGACTTGCATAACGTACCCGCCGACCTCAAGAAGGAAGGCAGTGATTGGTTCGCAGTGTTCAACCCCAAGGTGAAAAGAGTTTTAGATGTTGCACTTGTGCATACTCTGATGCATGAGAGGTGAGTTAGTGCATTTTGGTCGGATCGATGTTTTTATTCTGGATTTACGTCTGCTGGAGCTGTGGGCATGCTTTATATGTTTGGTTTATTCTGATTTGGAGTTGCTCAATCATTACCTCTCTCATGGTCACATCTAACCCTTTTTGCTTTAGCGTCGTGTGCTGTGTCCGCTTTTCTGCCGACGGCAAATATCTAGCGACAGGTTGCAACAGAACAGCACAGATCTATGATACCAAGACAGGAAACAAGACCTGGTGAGTGCACCTTTGCAATATATATATATATCGACATGGAATGCTCATTTCTCGTTTGTTTATTATAATTTCTGTTGTTGTCTTGTGTATATATTTGTGGGCGCCGTGCATACGTGATCTCACTGGTGCATGTTTGCGTGTGATGTGCCCATGATTATACGTGCAATCACGCGCGTGTTCCGTGTGGCTTGCCTACGAAAATGAACGTACACCTACTACTTTGTCTACCTGCACACGACAAACAGCATACTAGCAGACGAAGGTGCAAGTAAAGCAGGCGATCTTTATATTCGCAGTGTCTGTTTCAGTCCAGATGGTAAATATCTAGCAACAGGTGCCGAGGACAAGCAGATTAGGGTGAGTGGGACATACCCTTGATATCGAAGTCTTCATTTACCTATCAAGCCCCCCCCCAGATCTGGGACATCGCCAAGAAACGCATACGTAACGTCTTTGACGGACACCAGCAAGAAATATACTCTCTCGACTTTTCTCTGGATGGGCGTCTCATTGTCTCTGGGTCGGGCGATAAAACAGCACGAATATGGGACATGATAGAAGGGTCGTCAAAAGTACTTACTATCAATGATGCAGACACGGTCAATGCTGATGCGGGTGTTACATCTGTTGCAATCTCGCCAAACGGGCAGCTGGTAGCGGCGGGAAGTTTGGACACGATAGTCAGGATCTGGGACGTTGCCACTGGTCAGCTAGTGGAGAGGTTAAAGGGACACAGAGACAGCGTGTACAGTGTTGCATTCACACCAGATGGCAAAGGCCTCGTCAGCGGGAGTCTCGACAAGACGCTCAAATTTTGGGATGTTAGCGGACTGATGGTAGGGCCAGGCGGGAAGCGGAAGGAGGTTAGTGGCCCTGGCAGTGGAGGGTCAGTGAATGGCAAAAAAGACGAGAAGGGGCTGAGTCGATGTACGATGGACTTTACCGGACATAAAGATTATGTTCTCAGCGTCGCTGTGTCTCATGATGGCCAATGGGTCGTTTCTGGATCAAAAGATCGAGGAGTACAATTTTGGGATTCACATTCTGCCACTGTGCAGTGTATGTTGCAAGGGCATAAAAACTCTGGTACGTGCATTTGTTTCCCATCGTTGTCAAGAACTAACGATGATGTGCTTGTTTTTTTGGGATTAGTTATTTCGATAGATTTGAGCCCAGCAGGTAGTATACTAGCGACGGGAAGTGGGGACTGGCAGGCGCGGATATGTGAGTTTCTCTATTACTGTTTTTTTCTTCTTTCCCGTTCCTGTGGATGCATTTCGAGGTGCTTGAATGTCCCGAATGCCTCGTTGTCTGATGCTATAAACACAGGGAGCTACCAAACAATGTAATGGATACATCTGGGCGCGCTTTAGATTATGATCATAACGATGGCCACAACTCTGGTCACCAAGTCCATGTGGCACCGCGGATGCCTACGTTTGTCAAGGACGAAGTGGTGTTGATAGTTGACGAAACTTGTAAGGAATACTATGGTAGTGAAACTTTATTGTAATTCGAGACAGCTGCTTATCTAAAACGTATTACTTTCACGTCATATTGTGATGCGTCGTTTTTTCTGAATTGCTGTTCAATATAAAACATGAATACATCAAGTTGCGTCACTCATCCAATGTATAGATTTCAAGCTTTTGTACAGATCGTAATTATGTAATGCTTTCAATAATCGTCTTCGTACTCATCGTCGCTGCCACGTCCCCTGTGCCCAGGTTTTTGTTTGCTCACGACAGAGCTAAAGCTGGAAATTGTGCGTGCAATTACCTCGTCCAGCATTTCAGGAGGAAGATCGTACTCGGACCCTCGCACTACGATTGCATATACAGCTAATGAAGATAGGCTTTTAGAACTACTGGGATTCGAGGAGATTACGAGTTACAGTTTTACCATCTTCAATTTTCTCTAGAGATTGTGCGGTGACGACTTGCTTCTTGGACAGTCCTCGAACATATGGGCACAGTCGCTCGAAGTCTTTAGTTACAAAAGAGAAGAAAATCGTTAGCATGGTTTGATATTAAAGTATAGTTTCTTGCCTGCTTTACAATGCCTCACGAAAGCACATACTTCTCCTGCTTTGGCCCGTCCGCCTCTTCGAGCAATGCCAGAAATCGCATATCGCATCAGTTCTCCCGTGAGATCCGATAGCCCGAGGAGATAGTCTTCCAACGGCAAGGGAAAAAACTGAGAACAGAGGAAGCCGCAGTCGAATTAGATAAGAAATAAGCGTACGAAGTGTGCGGTCCTACGTACAGGGACTCCATTATCGTCTGACAAGGAGGTTCTGACTTGGCCATATGTTATCAAGGTCCCGTACTGAATATAGTGTGTGAAGCTCAGAGCCTCGATGTATCTAGATGGAAGACACACGATAAGAGTGAAGGTGAGGTGTCAAAAAACGTGTCAGCGAATGATATACACACTCTTGAAGACCCGGTGATATTGTCTGATGATAACGCCAAAACTGCTCGTCTGGTACTTCATCATTCATCCGGGCATATATTGACTGCACTTCTTGCAGTTTATCTCGACTACGTTTGGCCACACTTTCGGAGTCGGGTGTGCCACCACTGGCGGTTTCCATCATGAGACGGTGTACGAGAAATATGATTTTCTTCGATAGGTTCGTAACATCTCGGCTTATCTACCAGACGAGGTGCCAATGATGGTATAACCAAGGTGTCAGAGAGATGCAGATGAAGGACTCAAAAGAGCGCAGACCTTGATCAACCGCTCCCTTCTATCATTATACTCATCTAAATTTTGCCGAAAGTCGTCAAAAACACCACTAAAAGCCATTCCAATTCTTTCTTATGATTCAAGTTTAACCCTGAAGCTTGAAGTTGGGCGCTTAGATAAGCGCCGTTTGGGCTCAGCGCCTAAACGATCTTTGCTGGATGTAGTATGGTTCTTGGTATTGCATTGATATAAAAACGTAGATATATTCCAGCGCTGGTATACACACATTGATGATACTTCTACGATTATCGATTATGTGTACTCAATGAAAATGGTCAAGAAGAGAACCGCTAGAGGATAGTATTAGCGGGGAAGGTATCAGGTGTAATACTAGTAGCCCAGATTTGGATGTGCCATTTCACAACATAGCTTGAACGCTGCTTTTTGGAAAGCAATCCAGGGACTGAAATAACTTATTGTCCGCGTACTGTTTGATCCCAATCAAAAAACTGCAAATGAAGAAAAAAAGAAGAAAAAAGTCCATCCTTAAGAACCTAGGCCATATCCTTAGCTGTGACGTTGTAGTCTGATGGTTGATCCGTTTTGCTGCTTTCAACAATCCTGTTAATCGTACACTCGGTACTCTGGTGGAATGTCTATGTTTTGGAGAGGTCCGCCGTCAAGCCTTAGGCCAGCATCCTCATGCACGTGCCTCGTGGGAAGTTTGGGAGGCGATGATGGAGATGAAAGGGACTCGGAAAGCACTTGGGACAGCGTTTCGTCTGCAACAGGTGCAGGTGTATTAACGTTGGAGGATCGTGCATCAGCCGCAGAGGCAGGTATCGTATTGTTGAGAGAAGGAGGTGAGCTAACGAGCCCATGCCCATGCCCAAGCGCGCTTGTGAACGAGGAAGGAGTAGGAGTGTTACGATACGGTTCGACGACGCGTGGTAACCCGCGATTTGCTGATAAACTAGATTTTAATATGAAAAAGGATGGCTGCTGCATTATGGCATACCTGGCGGTAGTGGCGATGAGAAGTTGCCTGGTGGGGAAGAGTTGGCGTCCGAGGGCCATGTATCGGGCGCAGAGGCAAACATCGTACTGTTGAAAGAAGGAATCGAGTTGACATGCTGGTGCCCAATTGTGCTACTGAATGAGGCTGGCATAATAGGAGCATCACGATATGGTTCGACCATATGTGATAATACGCGATTGTCTTTAATGTGAGAAACTAGGTTTTAGTATTTTAAAAAAAACGGATGGCTGATAATGGCATACCTGGAGGTGGTGGTGATGAGGAGTTTGCTGCTAGCGAGGCATAAGAACGTCTATGGCATCGATATAGGAGAAACCCAAGAATCGCAAGAATCGCGATACCGACAACCCCACCAAGCGTACCAGCTAGAATAGGTACAAGGTGTGTAGATCCATTGTTGGATGATGGGCTTGCAGAAGGCGTCGAACTTGCAGAAGGCGCTGAACTAGAAATCGTCCCTGTTGTAGAAGGACCCGTATTTGGTGTAGTCGTACTGACTACAGCACAGTAAGTGGGCTGGCAATTTGTCATTCCGAGTCACATAAACGAACCTGGCAGAGGCACATATGCATAGTAATCGAACCATAGACTGCTGTTCTGGCTGGTGAGAGGGCTGATGACTACACTGTGAGTGCTTTCAGGCAGATCACCCGAGTCATAGAACAGCTGCTGATACAAGGTGGATTGAGTAATGGGCGCAGTGTAGGTTGCCGTAGCGTTATTATCCAGCGTGTAGTAAGAGATAGAAGGATTGGTGTTCAAGGTTGCAGGAGGGATAGTGCCATAAACCATAACACGAGAGCCTTTATCATAAAAAGTTGTTCGAGTGACGCCATAAGCGCTCAGAGGTCAAATAACGTACCTTGAAAAGAGAAAGATATCGACATCGCTGTTCCGTTGGGGGTTGAACCATGAGTGGTGGTGTCATATTCTTGAGAAACACCACCAAGCCACCATATCCCAGTTGATGAGTAAGTTATACTTTCATCACGATCATCTACTTTCACTATTGGAAGAGAGGAACTCATGGTTTGTGAACAAAAACGGGGACACGAAGAGCGTGACCAAAAAATAGTATTTAAGGGAAGCACCTTAAGCGCTTACTAGCTAATCCTTACTATAATAGGCTTGCCATCAGAACAAGGCAGTGTTCTTACCATCATGCTCCCAGGAATCCGCTGGTTTTGACAGCTGGTGCCAGACAATGAGGCCTACAACGAGGAATATTGAGAGTGCACAGCTTGAATAATGGAAGAAGTCCGTAACGAAAGGATCACCTGTACTGGTGGTGAAGTGTAGCTGAACCATGTTTTGTGTGTGCCGCGACATTTGTATCCGACAAAACCTTACCTGCGCCACAGTAACGATGTACAATCACACCATGTGGACTCGGAATGACCAATCTTTGACCATGCTTTGTCCTGACTGTTTCTCGATCAGACCTATCACGGAACAAAACTCGTTCCGCTACGGAAGTAATATTGCTGGTGAGTCAAATATCACCCTTTCAGACCAAGTTATGAAAACGGGTTGTAACAGGTCAGACTCAATCGTCGCAGAACGACTCGGATGGGACCAGAGTTCAATAGCATGTATGGATGCCCATTCTGCGTTAAATAAGCAAGAATTTCATTGACTTGCATCAATAGCCGAATCATAGTCGCCGCCGACCAACAAAGGCAGCGCCACAATAAAGAGGAGGGGCAGCAGGACTTCGACGTAAACGAATGAATTTTATGTCTGTGTCGTCGACTTCTTCCTGGAGACGGATAATGCAAGATAAATGAGTAATTACCACACTGACCTCGCTCGCATCGCAATTATCCCGGGTAGACCAAGTTGACCCACTGCGAGAAGTCCCTCAGTAATACACAAGGAAAACATACCTTCTATTAGTAGATGGACGTGCTTCTTTTCAGATAAGCAAATGGGCTTAAGCCCTGGCTCATCTACTAGCAACGAGCTGTGTCAAGTTATGATCAATATATTCTGAGTTGTCCGACCGTACTGTTAGACGTTGTATAAATGAAGTAGAGATTGAAATCGAAGGAGCACCCATGGTATTGTCTAAACCTGGAGAAGTGATGGCAATCAATATGGGCATCGACTGTTCATTGTCAAGTCGCAGTATTTCGGAGGACATGACATCATATAAAGCCAGCGATATCAGTCGGAGAAAGGTTGATATCTTGAACGTCGAAGCCAGTACTTGAGATGAGTCTATCACAAGTGGTCATTTACAGGTCGTAGCTAGAAAGACCGAGTTAAATATGGAAGATATATTGATTAGAGCTTGACGCACCCACGAAGACACCTCGAATGGCCAAAAATGTGGCACAAATGATGGATACTCACCGTAGCAACGGATGGTTGAGTTCAAGTTCTAGTAGCAAGCGTGATGTGAGCGGTGAAAAGACAAGAGAGAGTGGCTATTCCTGTTAACACCCACATCATGACGTCCTGGCTGACAGGTCCAACCAGAACCCGAACAAATGCAGTCCAATTGATCATCATGATACCACAGAAACTGTCAATGGGGGGGTATTCAGTGGCGTAACTGAACAACTTGATTACGAATATCTCGGCGAATATACGCAGTCCAATTCAAGGAAAACGTTGCTAGGGCCATTCCTCTGGAAAGAAATCCCTAATACTACAATTCTCGACCTTGCTTGTCGGTAACCGCAAGATAGTAGCAATCAATGGGGATTGCATGACGCGGAGGTTTCTTGTATAAGTCATGAATCGTTATATATATAACACTGTCCGCTGGGCAATCCTGGACCCAGCTTACTGGAGTGCACATATCCAGAACCATCTAGGTTTCCGAACTCGAAGGCTTACCTTAACATTTATACTCCTGGAACCTGATTCACCAGAAATAAATATAAAGCGTAGTACTGCGCATCTACATATCAAGGGGTCAATCATACAGTTCAATCCAGATTTAGTGAGGGCCCACAACGTTATAACACAAACGTGAGCAAGTGCAGTCGATTCTCAAGCATATAGTTTTCAGGCTTAGCGTTCAGCGTTCAGCCACGGGGTCAGTAAGGACATTATGGGCATAATGGAGAAGTCAGAGCGTAGAAAATTGGACAATCACATTGGAAGAGGGAGGGCTAGTGTGTCCAGTACTTGTCAAAGACTGGAAAGGTGATACCAGCGTCTATAAATTCAGATGTTATGACATAGTCCGTCTAGAAGTCCAAATATAAAGCAATCCACAATTAAAAAGAAGATGAAAGTGTTTACTGGCCAGCCGTCCAACGCATGATCATGTTCAAAGGAGAATATTTTAAGGAGAAATGTCGACTTTCTTTGTAGGCTTTATAACGAATTGTCGCTGTGGTAGAAATCCTTCTTACGCAGTGTGTTGAATGTACACTCAATCATACTGCTGATACGTTGGCGGAAGGTCTATTCTTTGCAGAAGTCCACCACCGAGCCTCAGGCCACCGGCCCTACTCACTCGGCTCTCGGCTGCTTGTTCTCTAGAGGTTGCAGGTGCACGAGGTGCAATTGTTACGGGGGTTTCAGAGATGGTGGAAGGAGCAGAAGTTGCATACGGAGCTGTATTGGATGATATGAATGATAAAGGCTGAGGTGCACTGACAAAGGATGGTTGGACACTGGTATGCGGCGACACCGTATTATCGGTAGATGCGATCGACCAGCCACTGGCAGGCCTGCGACAAGATGATTCCACATCCGAAGATAGTACGGTGCGAGCATCATGTTCATCTGCGGATTAGAAGGATTAGAAGGGAGGAAACAAAGTTAAGATAAGTGGTCTATGGGCATACATGGTGCTGATAGTATACTGCTGGGTGCTAACTTCGAGTAGGAGCGTTTATGGCTCCAATAGAGGAAAACAGCGAGAATTGCGATTAGGGCTAGACCAGCGATGCCTCCAAGTGTACCGGCTATAATAGGTACGGTAGAAGACTTCGAGTGTGAAGATGAACTAGGGGGAGACGGTTGAGGCAATGCAGTCGAGGAGGTAGACGTGGTCGATGATATTGCTGAGGTCGAAGATGAAGGGGAGGAAGAGGGTGCCGAATTACCTGTAATAAATGTACACCAAACGTCAGTTTATAAACCATCTGCCATCTGTCCTAGTCACTTAAACAAACCTGACGAAGGCAAGTACGTGTAGTAATCAAACCACAAAGTACTATTTTGAGTCGTGAGGGGGTTGATGATTACAGTGTGTACACCATCGGCCAAGTTCCCCGAGTCATAGAATTGCTGGTGATATTGAGTATTTTGTATGGCTGGGGCAGTATATGTCACCGCTGGGGTATTATCCACCTTATAGTAAGACACCGGAGGTATGATATTGTTATCTTTCGCAGGGGCAATAGTACCATAGACCATAACACGGGTACCTTGGACATGTATTGATATAAGAAAAGCAAAAATGGAAGCTAGACCATAAAAATACCTTGAAAAGCAAAAGATATTTCCATTGGTGTCCCGACAAGGATACTACCATGAGTGGTGTTGTCATATTCCCGATTCACACCACCTAATTCCCATCCATTTGATGGTGAGTAGGTTATAGTGTTATCACGGTCATCTACATAGATAATATTAGCCATGACTGGCAATGAAGGGCAGGGGAAAGAAAGGAGGAACTACTAGTAGTATTTATGTGATTCACGCACCTTCAAGCACTGACCGTGCATTGCCAGAGTCAGGGGACCACACCATCAGTCAGAGTTTGACAGAGAGATGGTAACTTTCCAGAAAAGTATATAAATATCGCTATCAGATATCAAATACTAGAATGGGTATAGCCTAGATGAGATGATTCGACAAGAAGCGTGTCAAATGATACTATGTCGGAAAAATCCACTTCATCTGATCAGGTATGACAAACGTCTGTAAGAATCCTGTTCCATCTGATGGTCTGACGTGTCGATGATTGAAGGCTGATCAGACCTGAGGCAGGAAATAATCAGGCAAGTCAACTGAGTACAAGTAAAAGAGACGCCGATCATTTCTGAACAGACATGGTCTGAAGACGAGACATTTGAAGACCCAAAATAGGCATATCAGGCGGTCAATGACGACCAGTGCGACACTACGGATCTATCTTCAGTTAGGACTACAATGTAGTTATGGATTTCCAAAACGTAGGAATATGTCACCGTCAACTAGATCCAGCAAATAAAAATGTTCTTCCTTCATATCGAAAGCCTGTATCATGTGAACCCCCCTAATCAAATACTGAGCCATTCCAACTCGGAGTCTCTAGTTTTTTCATACAAACGAGCACCGGACCATGTAGTTCTTGGGTTTCCATTCAACGGTTTGAACATCTTCACGAATGCGATATTGAACGAGGAAGAGTGATTAAAGCAACGAAATAAACTTTGGAGTGACAATTATGACATTTGTTTATAGTACGAGAAAACATGCATTGGCCTGATAAAACTAAGTGAAACTCAGCCACTGCCCAAGAGGCTATAGAAACAACTGAGGTATTCCTATACTAAACCCCCTACTACTTATAGTTGGAGGTGCTACTCGCTACAGTATAATGACTCCTAGGAGTACAATTGTGCTCCTAGGAGAACAATGGTTACTCCATGGAGTGGTGGCTATGCTCCATGGAGAACAATGGCTGCTTCGGCAGAGACCGGGTTTATCCGGTTTTGTCACTCCCACTTGAGTGCAACCGTAGTCCCATAGCTTTAGAGAATTTCCAGTGTTTTTCATGAGTGAGGGGTTTAGTGAGAATGTCTGCAACCATATCTCCTGTAGGAACATATCTGATTACTGCCTCTCCCTTTGATACTAAGTCATCTCGGATAAAATGATATTTCCGTTGAATGTGTATTGTGCGAGCACGGAACTGTGGATCTCGTGTAAGAATGATAGCTGCTTGATTGTCACAGTGCAATGTTGTAGGTCCATTTTGAGCATGTCCAATTTCTTCAAAAAATGTCCGAAGCCATGCAAGGTGTTGTCCAACATTGCTCAATCCAATGTACTCTGACTCCGTGGAGGATAAAGCTACCATGCTTTGTCTTTTGCTTGTCCAGGAGATTGCTCCTCGGATGGTGATAAAGACAAACCCTGATGTTGATCGAGACGTGTCTGGGTCTCCAGACCAATCTGCATCTGAATATCCATAGAAATCCATGTCCATGGAGACATCTGTGCCATCATATTGTAGTTCCATGTCCCTGGTTGCTTTCAGATATCGGAGGACACATTTTGCAGCTTCCCAGTGATGGCTCCTTGGAGCTGAGCTATGTCTGCTTAGTATTCCAACAATGTAGGCAATGTCTGGGCGGGTTCCGAGCATGGCATACATGAGGGAGCCTACAATTGAGAGGTATGACACTTGACGCCCTTCAATATGCATCTCGTGTTGCACAATATCTTCCCCTGGAGCATTTGCAAGGAGTTTTGATCCATGGGCCATTGGTGTCCATACTGGTTTGCAGTTCTTCATTCCAGTACGCTCCAGGACTGTGTCAATGTATTGGCATTGCAATTGAGATATTGTTTTGTTTGAATGATCACGTTGGATTTCTATTCCGAGGATGTATTTTGCTTTTCCAAGGTCCCACATCTTGAATATGGATTTGAGTTTGGCTTTTGTGATATCCATGAATTTCCGGGATGAAGCTCCTAAGAGGAGGTCATCTACATAGACAACAACAAAGCATATTTGTTTGTTGTCCCAGAATACATAGAGACATGTTTCTGCATTTAGTCTTGTGAAACGGAGCTCCTGGAGCTTGCGATCAAAAATTTTGTTCCATGTACGACCAGCTTGTTTTAACCCGTAGATGGATTTCTTCGATCTCCAGCAGTATCCAGGTTGGATAGGAACACCCCCTGGAGGAAGCATGTACAGTTCTTCTTCAAGTTCTTCATAGAGATAAGCTGTGGATACGTCCATTTGATCAAGTTCTAGGTTGTACTTTGCTGCCAGGGCTAGAATAATTCGGATCAACTCTAAGTTTGCAACCGGGGCAAAAACCTCCTGGTAATCAATCCCCTCCCTTTCAGTAAAACCTTGTGCAACAATCCGGAGTTTGTATCTCTCAATGTTTCCGTTTTGATCAAACTTGATCCGGAACACAGGTTTTGATGTGATGGGTTTTACTCCCTTCGGAAGTGGAACAGTGTCATATACTGCATTAGTATTGAGACTGAGGAGTTCCTCCTCCAAGGCAGACTTCCGTAATTCTCCATCCGGACGTGATAAGGCTTCCTTTAGTGTCCTTGGAAGGTCTGTGTTAGATGGACCAGTACTTGCTATTCCAGCAAAGAATGTCTCCTTTGTATCAGATGTTTCTTCATAAACCTCAGGAGTGTTAGGTTTCTCCATGGAGTTGTCATGCTGCTCTTTTTGAGACTGTTCCTCATCTAGAGTCCTTTGATAATCTCGGTTTTTGTCTGCAGGACGGGTCTGGCGACTGCTTCTGCGCACTCCTAGGACTTCAGCAGGCATGACTGCTTTTTTAGGAACTTGTGCAGGTACTCCAGGGAGTAGACACATTTGTGTATTTGTTGCCCCACCCACTCCTGAAGGTGTTGAATCACTCCTCGGAGGTGTTGGATGCCTTCCAGAAGCTGATCCAATGGACAGGCTGTCTAGCTGTATTCGGACTTTTTCCACATCAGCTGGCTGTATGTTGAGGGGCTGTCCTCCCACTGACTGTAACTCTACTTTGGCTTTCCATTCTGAAGATGGCCAGTGTTCAGGTCTTCGTTGTAGAGACTGTTGTGGAGGGTGTCTTAGCTGATCAGGTGCTCCCACTGCTCTCGGAACGTCTCCACGGAGGTATTGCCCCACTGCTCTCGGAACATTTTCATGCTAATATGGTTCCATTGCTTGTGGAATATCTCCTTGGAGATGTGGTTCCATTTGCAATTCATTTGGATCTCGGATCCAAGGGTCAGGATCATCCTCCTCCAATGTTTTTTGGTCTGGATAGTGAGCATTCTCTGGAATGAGTCCCTCCCACTGATCTGTGCTAGTGTCTGTGTTCCAGGGAGCAGTGTCATCCTTTTGTACCTTTCCGGATTCATTGAATATGACATGCCGACTGGAAAACACAGTCCGTTTTTCAGTGTCTAGGAGTTTGTAGGCTTGCTTTCCATGTGTGTAGCCAATCATTATGGCTTTGCGCCCCTTGGAGTAAAACTTCCCTTGCCTTTTGTCTTTCGGAATAAAGGCATATGCTTGGCATCCGAAAGGGCGAAACAAAGTTGGATCAACTCTCCTTTTAAACAGTATTTCATATGGGGTCTTTCCATGGAGTCCTGATGCTGGGCTGCGTGCTGTGATATATGCAGCTGTTTGCATGGCATCTACCCAAAATGACTTTGGGAGCTTGGAATCATGGAGCATAGTGGTTGCTAATGTAGCCAATGTCTGATTCATGCGTTCTGCAATGCCATTTTGTTCCGGAGTATCTGCAGCTGTAGTTTCTTGGATGACACCATCTCCTCAGAGTTGATTTTTGAATGCATTGCCAGTATATTCTCCTCCCCCATTGCTCCGGAGGAATTCTGTGTATAGTGAAGTGAAGTTTTCTTCTCCCAAATGAGTACGGAAGAATGTTTGGACATCTTCTTTCCATTGCTTGTATCGTTCCAGTGCTTCACTTTTATGTTTTAGGAAATATATCCATGGAAATTTGGAGAAATCATCTACAATGATAATCCAGTACCAAAAACCCTCCCTGGAAGTTGGTTTGATTGGTCCTCCAACATCTGTGTGCACAATTTGTATGGGGCGCTTGGCTCGGTTTCCTCCAGTGGACTTGAAAGGTAATTTCTTCATCTTTCCTAAAGCACAAGGTTCACAAAACTCCAGGGTTCCGGTAAGGGTGTCTATGTCCTGGAGCTGTCTTTTTGTAACCATTTGTTGCAAGCGGTCCATTCAAATGTGTCCCATTCTCCTGTGCAATAAATTTACATCTACTGCTGCAAAAGCTGACTCCGGGTTGATTTCAGGTTTTGCTTGGATGTGATAAAGTGTTACGATAACACAATTTCCGGACATCTCCTGTCCTTTTTATTCTCCACTTTAACTTTATACTTTAAGTGCCACGCGACATTTCCCTTTCTCGCGCCGCGTTGCCTTTCTTTTACTTTTAGACTTAACTCTCTCACGCAGTGGAGCTGGCCATACGGGCTAGGCCCTATGACATCATCAGCCACTGCCTTCATCAACTGTATAGTACACATGTACAAACAACCTGTAGTAGTATATATACCCCAATAGATCCAGGAGACTCCTCAGCGAGTCCTCCTGTTGTATACCAACTAACTCACTGCAGCCCAAGGGGTACCCACTCCCCATCTTCCACTACCTTTATAGTGTGATCCTGTGTGCGCCAGAGTAACTAACTCTTGGTTGTTACATTAGGACTCGCTCTTTCTACTCTCTCGCACGTGTGTGCAGAAGTCCCATCATTTGGGCACCCGGACTCCAGGGTGAAGGAGATTGGTTAGCGGTTAGGAATATCCCACATAGCAGATAGGTGCGCTCCTAGCGACGGCCTTGTAGTGCTTTGGGAGAAGAACCCAAAAACCTTCGATACGCGGCCCCCAGCGTTAAGGGGAGTACCTTAGCTCAGCAGTCGGTGTGGAACCACTGTTGATTAGATTTAAAATACAAACTTTCACTTTCGAATACCTCTGACCAGGCCGGGCACTTGCCTCCGCCAGTCTGGAGAAGGGTTGACAGCTTAACAAGCGGACCACCCCCTGACAACCGTTCGGACCAGGGTTTATTACGTTTACATTTTTATATACTTTTTCAAATACTATAGTGTGGGTAGTCGGAGATTGAGATCCGATACTCAGCTGGGAAGAGGTTGATCCGCAGATAGCAAGCGGGGACCCCCAGTTACCTATTTTTACGTTACCCAAAGAGAACAAGTCGACATGTCGTCGCAAGATATGAATGCGCTACTGCACGCAATGCGTGTGCAGATAGCGGAATTAACCTCGCAGCTCGCCGAGATACAGGCCAACCCCCCTGTAGCAACCCCCTCGGTAGAGAAAAAGTTTAACAAGAAAGTCGAAGTCGTCGCTGACCCTGGCGCCTTCGAAGGAGACCAAGCGCGATTTGCCGAATGGTGGATCAAGCTCCAGATTTGGGTCAAGGCGAACTGGGACGCTTTCGCCGACGATTTTGAGGTAGCCACTGCGGTGCTATCTCGCCTAAAAGGACCTGTGGCGGGTCGATACGCCCAAGTAAGACTCCAGGAATGCTACACCGCGGGTGTGTGGCCTACCTGGGACGATCTCAAGAAAGAGATCGAAAAATATTTCAAACCGCAAGCTGAGCGAGACTGGGCGCGTCAGCAAATCCGTTCCTTCAAACAAGGAAACATGAGGACGGATGATTATGTCACCCGGTTCCTGGCCCTCTCCATCCAAGGAGGGTTAGGTAACGAACACGCAGTAGAACTGCTGGAACGCAATGTGAACCCTCGCATTGCAGAACAGATCTACCTGCAGGATACAAGAAGTGACGACCTGGCTCTGGCAGCCGAGGAAGTCCGACGAGTCGGTAGGGCCATGGAGCTCTACGCTATGCACCAAGGTGGCGGGTCCACCAAACAAACCACCACACCCCAGAGGCGCCCTGGGTCATCAAACCAACATCATAATCACTCTCACGGGTTCAAGCCGTTCGGGCTGCAGCCAGGACAGGGTGCTCCTATGGATATCGGCGCGGTCCAAGGCGGACAAATGCGCAGATTCAAGGGCAACTGTTACAACTGCGGCCAAGAGGGACACATGTCCTGAGACTGTAGAAACGGGGCGCAGGCTGCCCAACAAAATAATCAAAGGCGCCAGGCGCGCCAATTAGAAATCGCAAAGCCGGACGATCGGCTCAACTCTTTGGCCGGTCGTTCTTACGACGAAATCCGGGCCTTCTTCTATGACCAACAGGTCAACGAAATGAAGGCTCAGGGAAAAGAATTCGGGGCTTAGGTCACTTGGGTACCTTAGCTCCTGGTAAAAATGAAGTAAACCACAACAAAGTGGCCCCTGCTCCGGGGTGTTGCACGAGCAATAACGGAATGACGGGGATGGCTCCCCAATTTGTAAATAAATTTTTAAATTTGTTATCAGAAGTATGTACTTGTATAAAGAAATGTAACTGTAATATTTATGATACTACCGCTGCACCAGCGTCTCCCTTGGAGCGTGGCCCCGGCGAGACAAACACTAGGGTGCTTGATTCTGGTAAAACAAAAATAGAAAAACATGTGTCATTCAAAATTCCTTCTTCTTCGGAGCCACCCTTTCCCGAAATCCCAAGGCGTGTGTTGATGCGCACGTATTTATTCCAAAAAGAGATCCGTTTAGACGTTGGCGTGGAAAACCTTGCCAGGGGCAAAGTACACTCAACAAGCGCACTGCTTGATTCAGGCGCTAACGGGATCTTCATAGATCAGGTCTGGGCGGAGCAAATTGGACTCCCCCTTGTAAAATTAGAAACATCTATTCCCGTCTATAACGTCGACGGTACGCTTAACGCAGGTGGCTGTATTACACACAAATGTTCTTTTGTGGTCGAATACCAAGGACACAGAACGAGTCACTGCCGAGGCTACCCAACTAGGGAAGATTAATTTAATCTTAGGCTGGACCTGGCTATTTAAACACAATCCTGAGATCAACTGGCAGACAGGGGTTGTCACATTGTCACGTTGTCCCCAGGAATGTGTAAACTTGGGTAAACCAAATCATGTCCGTCACAATGAGCGTCTCGAAAAGTTAAACGCTAGTCACGTTTACGAGCTCAGATCTCTAGAAAAGATCGACGATGACGATGATGAAGTAAAACCTGAGGAAGAGATTAAGAGGCTGGTACCTCCCGAGTACCACGACTTCTGGAAAGTCTTTTCGAAACACAAATCAGAGCGCTTCCCAGAGGCTAAGCCTTGGGACCATGCTATAGATTTGAAAGACACCTTCAAACCAAGGAAGGGACACATGATACCGCTCTCTGCTCCCGAAAGAGACGAGGTATCTAGTTTCATAGACGAACAACTTAGGAAGGGTTACATCAGACCTTCCAAAAGTCCTATGACGTCCCCGGTGTTCTTCATTCCTAAAAAGGATGGTAAGAAGCGCATGATTATGGACTATCGTTACGTGAATGAGCACACAGTTAAAAACGCGTATCCGTTGCCTTTAATTAGTCAGCTAGTAGACAAATTGGCTGGCGCCAAAATTCTGACTAAAATGGATCTCAGATGGGGGTACAATAATGTACGAATCAAAGAGGAAGATGCTTGGAAGGCCGCGTTCACGTGCCACCGAGGATCTTTCGAACCCCTTGTTATGTTCTTTGGGTTGACCAATTCACCGGCGACCTTTCAGAGCATGATGAATGAGATCTTTGCGGATATGGAAAACTGTGTCGTCATTTACATTGACGATTTATTAATATTTACAAAGTCGGACGATGAGGCTGAGCATGACAAGATCGTGCAAGAAGTCCTTCGACGCTTACAGGAACGGGACCTATTCGTCAAACCCGAAAAATGTAATTTTAAAGTGAAGGAAGTAGACTTCCTCGGTATGATCATAGGCCAGAACGGAATCAGGATGAACCCTGAGAAAGTTCAAGCTATTTTGGAATGGCCAGAACCTACTCGCGTCAAAGGGGTTAGGGCTTTCCTAGGCTTAGGCAATTTCTACCGAAGGTTTATTGAAAACTTTGCAAAAATCACGAGACCGTTGAACGATCTCACCAAAAAGGACCTTGTTTGGCAGTGGGGCGCCAAAGAACAGGAAGCTTTTGATAAGCTTAAACAGGCATTTACAACAGCACCCATATTGGCATTCCCTGAATTAGACAAAGAGTTCCGGCTAGAAACCGACTCTTCTGACTTCGCCACTGGGGCTGTTCTATCAATCAAATGCCCTGATGATCTTTGGAGGCCTTGTGCCTATTTATCGCATAGTTTGTCGCCTACAGAGCACAACTATCAAATATACGACAAGGAGATGCTGGCCATCATTAGAGCTTTAGAGCACTGGCGGCACTACTTAGAAGGTGCTAGGCACCAATTCGAAATTTGGACCGATCATAAGAACCTGGAGTACTTCATGATGGCCCGAGACCTGAACCGGAGACAGGCCCGCTACGCGGTGTACTTGTCAAGGTTCAATTATAGATTAATTCATAAGCCAGGAAGCTCAATGGGGAAAGCGGATGCTTTATCTAGAAGAGAGGATCATGCCAACGGCATTGAAGATGACAACAAAGGTGTCACCCTGATAGATCAATCAAGGGTCGCCAATGTTAGAATCGGGCAAGATTCCGACCTCCTAGTAGTCTTTAGAAAAGACATCTCCCCAGAGGAAAAGGCGCGCCTTGACGGCAATGAAAACTATTTATGGAAAGACGGGCTCTTTCATTTCAAAAACAAAATCTATGTGCCTGAGTCCGCAAGGATCAAGGCAATGGATAGACATCATGACACTCCAGTGGCTGGGCACCCTGGATGGCAACAAACAATGGAGTTGATCTCCAGAAACTACATGTGGCCGGGCATGGTCAAAGACATACAGGAATACGTAAAATCCTGTCTAAGATGCGCCATGGCCAAGAATTCCCATCAACCGCCGGCGGGTAAACTCATGCTGAACCCGATACCAGCTGGCCCCTGGCAGGATATATCGGTGGACTTCACGACGGATCTGCCCGAGTCAAACGGGTACGATTCAGTAATGGTGGTAGTGGACCGCTTCTCCAAAGAAGTGGTATTCATACCCACCAACAAAACCATCACCGCCGCCGGTACGGCAGACCTATTTAAGGATTTCGTATGGTCAATCCATGGGTTGCCAGAAACGGTAATCTCCGATAGAGGACCGCAATTCGCTAGCGAATTTACCAAAGAATTATGCCGGATGCTGGGCATCAAACCTAAATTATCCACGGTGTTCCACCCGCAAACCGATGGACAAACGGAGAGACTCAACCAGGAGTTGAAACAGTATCTCCGGATATTTATTAACGACAGACAGACAGATTGGGCCAAGTGGCTAAAGATAGCCCAGTTCTCTTATAATATTAAACAGTCATCGGCTACAGGAAAGGCACCATTCGAGGTTACTAGATCGTACCTCCCCAGAATGGGTGTAGAACCTGGCAAAAGCAAAAACGAGGCTGCTGGGAACATGGCAAAAGACATGAAGTCTGTCTTGGACGAAACGCGCAAAGCGCTATTTAAAACTGCGGAGCAGATGAGAAACAGGGCAGAGCGTAGACGCTCTAAGGCCCCTGATTACAAGGTCGGCGACCTGGTCTGGTTAGACACCGACCACTTGAAATTAAAAGACCGGCAGTCTAGAAAACTGACCGAAAAGTGGATTGGCCCTTACCGGATTAAGGAAGTCAAACCTAATGCGGTGGAGCTGGAACTCCCAAAACGAATGAGGGTGGTACCCACGGTTAACATTAGCCGTGTGAAACCCTACAAAGGACCGCTGCCGGGACAGCGCGTAGACCGGCCCGGTCCGGTAGTAGTCACCCAGGAAGGTGAAGAAGAGTTCGAAGTCAAACGGGTGGTAGATGCACGCTTGAAGCGTGGAAAATTAGAGTTCCTGGTCCTATGGAAGGGCTATGGAGACGAGGACAGAACGTGGGAACCAGAATCCCATCTGGAAAACTCCCGCGACGCTGTTCGCGAATTTTATTCTAGGAATCCCTCAGCTCCCAGGAAGCTTAGAGGCATGGATTCAAACCTTTTTAATTCCCTCTTTCAACCTATGCCCGAAAATTTTACCACTACCTCCGGAATTTGGTCTCGCCTGGAAGTCGAGCCTTAGAAGGGGGGTAGTGTTACGATAACACAATTTCCGGACATCTCCTGTCCTTTTTATTCTCCGCTTTAACTTTATACTTTAAGTGCCACGCGACATTTCCCTTTCTCGCGCCGCGTTGCCTTTCTTTTACTTTTAGACTTAACTCTCTCACGCAGTGGAGCTGGCCATACGGGCTAGGCCCTATGACATCATCAGCCACTGCCTTCATCAACTGTATAGTACACATGTACAAACAACCTGTAGTAGTATATATACCCCAATAGATCCAGGAGACTCCTCAGCGAGTCCTCCTGTTGTATACCAACTAACTCACTGCAGCCCAAGGGGTACCCACTCCCCATCTTCCACTACCTTTATAGTGTGTTCCTGTGTGCGCCAGAGTAACTAACTCTTGGTTGTTACATAAAGTCCTTGTTTGTGTAACGCAGTGAGGATAAGTTCCTCCTTTTTCCGAACTTCACAAGCATTTGACCCTGCTGGAAAAAGTGTTGATAACCCCGTTTTGGACAATTTGTGGACAGAGACAAGTGCTAACGTGAAGTTTGGCACAAGTAAGACATTTGACAGTGCGATATTGTAGTCTTTTTTGCCAACAGTTGCTTGTAGGATTACTGTTCCAATGCCAATGGCATTTACAGAGGATTCATCCCCAAAACTGATTGTCCTTGGAGGATGCAGAACATGGTATGTTCCTGGCTCAAACCAGGAGCAGTGAGGGACCATGTGGGATGTTGCTCCGGAGTCAATAATAATTGTTGTTTTGGTCTTATCGGGTTCTGACACAAGGTAAGCTTGAATGCGTTTAGCAAGGGGCTTGAAAATATGTACATGTTCCAATGCAATATGACTCTGTTCCTCCTCGGAGTCAGATCCAGATGATTGCTCTGCTGTATTTGCCTTTTCCTTCTTCCTTTGACCTTTTCCGGCTGACTGAAGTGTTCGACACTCCGAGGTGTTGTGTGTTTTGGCTTTGTGGAAGTCACACCACTTCTCCTTGGATTTGAGTGCTGTTTCAGAACCTCCAGGGGCCTTCCCTGACTGTCGTGCAACTTCTGCAGTGATCCGGATCTCAACTGCATCAAAAGTAAGTTTATTTTCTTCAATCGTGTTGATTACCGATGACTGAAATATTTGCCATTCAGGAGTGCATGGGAGAGATTGGAGAAGAGCGAAGGCCATGAGTTTGGTATCAACTCCTAGTTTCATTCTGGAGAGGTGTGAATCAATTGTCCGGATTTTTGCAATGTGGTCCTGGATAGGTGATGTCCCATCCCAGGACAATTTGGTGGGTTGCTGGAATGAATAGAAGGCCAAGGCAATGTTGGACGTCTGATAGAGTGAGACAAGTTTATCAAATAACTCCTTGGAGCTGATGAGGTCTCCAGTCCTCATTAGGAGGGCATCAGAGATGTGGTCCTGGATGATTCCATGTGCCTTCTCATCCTTAAGTATCCAGGTGATCTCAGGATCCTCCGAGGAGGTAGGTTTTCCTGGTGAGGGCTTAAGCTCCTAATAAAACTAAGTGAAACTCAGCCGCTGCCCAAGAGGCTATAGAAACAACTGAGGTATTCCTATACTAAACCCCCTACTACTTATAGTTGGAGGTGCTACTCGCTACAGTATAATGACTCCTAGGAGTACAATTGTGCTCCTAGGAGAACAATGGTTACTCCATGGAGTGGTGGCTATGCTCCATGGAGAACAATGGCTGCTTCGGCAGAGACCGGTTTTGTCCGGTTTTGTCAGCTACAACATAACCATTGCCCTCTGGGCAGACCTGGCCCCGGCTGTGTCCAGATCACACAGCAGGCCATTACAGTTAACATTTTGTGCGGTCTTTACAGCGATCGCAGAGCAACAACGTACAATGGATGCAAGAGTGAGTAGCACCAAGGTAGCCACGTGACAATAGACGGAATGAGCCGAAAGTGCGAGAAAGGTAAACGTAAATGAGTAATGACTAAAAGGTCCTTGGAAAACGCAGCGGACATTTGAGCTTTGGAAACCTGGAACCTACGGGTCCAGGAATACGCACCCTTGCCATGTATTTTCGCACAAGCAGCGAATAATTCCGACGACGAGGTTAAGGAGGTCAACTGACCAGGATGCTTCTTAAGCCAAAAACGTACATATGTGAGTTCTGCCTAGTTTATATAGTACCTGATACTCACTCTCAACTAGTCCTTATCGCCAAGCTTAATGATGTCTATCAATGATAACGAACACATCCTCCCAGTGGCCCCGCTCGATGGTGTCGCAGCTGTGCTGGCTCACTTTTCGTCCAAATCCACTTCTTCAGTTCCCATTCGCGGGGAACGTACCATCTTCTCCTCATTTGCCCTCGCCTCTCGTGTCGCGGTGGTAACTGGAGGGCACCGCGGCATCGGCCTAGAAATCGCACTCGCACTTGCAGAGGCAGGTGCCATTGTTTACTGTCTCGACACGCCTTCCCACCCAGATGACGAATGGGGGGTCGTGAAGGTGCATGTGGACAACCTGGCACCTCTTGGCATTGGTTCAGGAGAAAATCTGGCCAAGCCGTCGCGTCTCGAATATATATCTGCTGATGTGACTTCTCAAGACAAGCTTTCACATGTCTTTCGACAAATCGTCGAAAAAGAAGGACGAATGGACGTGTGTTTTGCTTGTGCAGGTGTGCATGCAAGTATCCCAGCACTCAGTTATAGTGCGGATGACTTCAGAAAGGTGAGTCCTCTGATCTCGTTTCGCGGTCATCACCTAATCTCATTATTTGTCCTGTACCTCTTCACTCTAACGTGAAAATCTACTACGACGTAGCTGATCGATGTAAACGTTACTGGGGTCTTTCTCACCGCTCAAGCCGCTGCACAGCAGATGGTGAACTTGGGTTCGCCTGGGAGCATTGTCCTCATCGGATCCATGAGTGGGAGCGTTGCAAATCAAGTAGGCATCCAAGTTTAAGACGTGTGTGCTTAATTTATTTCTGTTCTCATCTATGCTTTTCTTTGTCATCCCACAATACTACTTTGCACTCAGGGAACAACGTTCGTGGCGTACAACACTAGCAAAGGCGCTGTCCTTCAAATGGCTCGCAGTCTCGCGATCGAGCTCGCTCCACAGAAGATTCGTGTCAATACTATCTCTCCAGGATACATCCTCACGAAGTAATATCCTTTCACGTATAGTATGTGTCTGTACTAAGAAGTAAAATTTTCTTTTGCTGAATTCGTCCATCTCATGCCTCTGTATTCATCGACGACTACTTATGTATATTACTCGCTTCAAGGATGACGTTTGCCTCTCTCGAGGCCAAGCCCTCCCTGGCGCGGGAGTGGACCTCTCAGAACCCGATGGGTCGATTTGGTCGCCCAGACGAGCTACGCGGGGTTGCTACATGGCTTGCAAGCGACGCCTCGACGTTTTGTACTGGCAGCGAGTGAGTTGAACATACTATATTCTTTAAATTTTTCCAGCGGTCCTCTCTGCTGTTTCGGTGTCAGCGTGTTTTATGCCCAACTTTTGGTCCCCATTTCTCTCTTTCTATTAGATTGCTCATTCAACTCTTTCCTGCAGCATTATCGTCGATGGAGGCCACACGGCCTGGTAAAATAACAGGAGAATATAGCGGATATAGAACGAGTGGCCTGTTCTTTTCTTTCTTCTGGGACTGCAGGTTGCAGGTTGCAGTTGTACTCGTATCACATTCTGAATTCACGTATCTGCGCTCGAGATAAACCCTCTCGCATTCGACTTCCGTCATTGGTTCGAGAGGTCTCAGGGATGCGATACGCCTGGTCTCAGGTATTGACATAGCAAAAGGCCAGGTCATCACGCTAAATGTCCTGGGCTGCTTTGATGTTTCGGCGAAAATCGGAGGATGCTAAGGAGAGATAGCGACATGCGTTTGCAAGCCTACAATCATGATAAGAAGACTGTCATGCAAAACCTGGCTGAAACTAGCGGGAAGTGACACAATGGGGGACACACATTACGAAAAAGCGTGTACACAAACGAAGGAGCGTGGTTCGAATTTAATACGGCTTGAGATAAGCAAAGCCGCTATATTGTCAACAGCAGCAGCTTGAGGGACAGGCCTAGTACTTTGTCTGGGCATGCCGTGAGGAATGCTGCTGCATTATTGTACTACGCGACCTCGACGCGAATAGGCCAAAATTGAAAGTATGCCGAAAAGTGGCGGCAAATCAAATATTAAATTGCCGGATCGTGTGTTGTTCCAGTCCTCGGAAGATATTACACTTTTAAGCTTGCACAAAGCCATGGAACTCGTTTCGTTATTTTTCATCCATGCTATCCCATAAAGTATTGCTTTTCTTCACCTCCCATATCTCCCGACGTGCAATAGCGCGAGTCCTATCAACTTTCCTATGCGCACTCCTTGTCGTGATCCGTCCTTTCTCTCATTTCGGTGGCTCCACAGCGTTCCTTGTGCTCAGTCTGAAAGAGCTCGTCTTTTCAGTTCAAGATGACCTCGCACAACAGCTAGAACTCACCGTGCTTAATATCACAGGTGCCCTTGTCGGCATTGGTGTGTCTACTTTAGCGAAATACCTTGCTACTCTTCCAAAGGAAGGCTCAACTGTTTCGAGGCTTATCCCTGCTCTTTTTCTCGTCGCAATCAGCTTTGTTGGTGAGTTCGATCATATTTATTTCGTGCAGAGGTACATCGTGGACATTGTTTTAACTCAAAATTCTTCAGCTGGATGGCTTAAAAGTCGCTTACCTCGCCTACATTTATCTACCCGCATTTCCTGTTTTCTTGCAATATGGATGCTTACTTCAAATGCCGGCATACATGATGTACGTAATTACGACTTTCGGTATATTTTCATTCACTAATGATATCCCGCAGAGCGCACTCGCTGACGCTGGAAACTTCCTATGGATAACGCTTACGGCCGCAATAGTCTGCCTTTTCTCTAGCTTGCTATTATTACACTGGGCGTCCACGCACTTCGTCGAGGAAGTGGCTTCCACTTTGTCAAGTCTACACCAATGTCTCTCCCTTTCTATCGATAATGCTTTTTCGCCTTTGTCTTCTTCGACTGCCACCAAGCTCAAGGCCATGCATTCGGATCTCGTGCACAAATCTGTTAATTTGAATGAACTGTATTCACGAGCTGCCTTTGAACTGCGAGTGGGTCGAGTCGGTGGTGAGAACTCATGATATATATATGTATGCAACGTTGCACTAATACGGAGTAGTCAAATCTATCAAACCCCTCATAGGTATCATCGAGCATCTAAGGCGAGAACTTGCTTGGGGAACATATGCTCCTAGGCTCTTGTCTACTACGTCTAAAAACCACGTAACGGCGCCGATGTTTGAGACTACCGCGCTCGAGCTTGGAAAGGCTATCTTGGAATCGCTGAGTGCTACCGAAAAAGTGGTTATTGGCACTTTTACCGGAGCAACTCTGACTCGAAAGTCCTTCCAGTCTGAGAAATATGCTATTACTTCAGCAGAGACAAAACTGTTTGATACACGATACACTGCAGAAGACGAACTGCATAAGTTGATTTGCGATGCCGGCACGCACCCAGATTTATCACATCAACAATTCCGGTTTGAAAACGAAATTCCCTACCATTGTCTTTTTGTAACATCATTATTACAGGTGGGTGGTGCGGTATGCGTATTGGTTTCTCATTACTAAATGGCCATCATCTGTAGATGGCAAACGACGTTAGCCACGTCCTGCAAATGACACATATGCTAATCAAGTACTACGAAAAACTACCTCTTCGACTTTGGCATCCCCGTTTCTCGTTGCAATGGTTGGGCGTTGCACCTAGAACATTCGTTTTAGACGAGCTTGGAACCCATCTTGCCCAAGATACCATTGACGCGGATACAGCCCTTTCTGCTGAAGAAGCCCGCCAAGGACTTGCAACTTCAGATGAATCTCATAGCCTTCATGACAATATCCACGACCAGAGTAATCACGCCGAGGGCTCGTACTTTCCCTCTATAGAGGAAAAGGGGCAGAAGAAAAAATTCTCCCCTCGGACTTGCGCTCAACGACTTCCGTTTAAACTTCGCCGCTTATGGAATCATCCACAAGTTCTTCGTGTACGTCTTTGTATGTCGAAATTAGCTAGGGATGCCAAACATTCAAGCCATCTACGTCATGCTCTGAAAAATGCTGCAGGCGTAGCGCTTCTGAGCACTCCTGCATTTTTCCCACAAGGTTCAGCAGGTCAGTTGCCACGTTCTCTCACAGACTTTGATATTTATCCACTATCTTGGCATAGGCTTGCGTTGGTTTACGCTTGTTCATGGCCAGTGGATGATCATAAGCTATGTTTGGGTACTAGAGACTAATACAGGAGCGACGTGGCGAGTTGGCTATTTGCGATTAGTGAGTCTTTGTTTCTAGTCGGATTAGGCAGCCGATTCAGTTGTGATCTAGCTCGGAACAATCATCGGAGCTGTTTATGCGTATATTGTAAGCGAAATCTACTGCTGCTCTTACGTGGGAGGAAGAAATTAACGCTATAAACCTCAGATGTGGTTAATATGCCACAGGAACCCATATGGGCTTGTGGCGATGGTAACTGTAAGCTACACAGTTTTGTATATTGGGAGAGGTTTCTTACATTGAACTTCGCAGGCGGCTGATATACCAATCACCTGGATTATCATTCATTCGAACATCCCTTCCCTCGGTGTAGTTGCGTGAGTAGCGTTGACCACTGTTGACAAGCATTTACGGGGCCTAACCTTCCCCTCAGATCTGTAACTTTACCTCCAATAGTACTATCTCAATACTTGAGCCTAGCTACGAATATCTCCACGCTTGGTGAGTTCTACATTGATCGCATGGGGTTACGAGATTGCTTTGTCTCATCTGCCAAATTAGATCTTGCTGTATATAGGGGTGCAATGATCGGCATAGGGATCGTTGCAGCGCTTCTCATGAATAGTCTTGTATTTCCTAGGCATAGCAGGGTACGCTTTCCACCTTTTGGCTTTTTGGAGAGTGCTGACTTTGTACGCAGGTTTTATTCTTGAACCACACCAGTCGTTTGCTTGGCTTGCTCAGTCACTTATACCTGAACTTGAGTCGGTACGGTGTTCTTATTTAAATTATCATTTTCACGGCTCTGAAAGTGTCGAGCAGAGATTTGTTCCACAACAGTTATACAGATATGCGTCACGACAAACACAAGACTTTGAAGTTGGAGCTGCAGATTCGTAATGCATTACATCGGTTGTCGTCGCTGATGGCATCCATGCGCGATGAGCTGAGTCTTGTGCCTGTGAGTATCGACATACAAGACGACAGGAGAAATTGTTATTAACAGACCTTGTGCGCAGAAACCAGTGCACCATTATCGACAAGTTGTGCTGAAGTTGCAGAAAGTACTTGACTTGATGGCTGGTTTGAGGAAGATTAGAGAAAAGATACCTCGGAATATAACTGTATTTCCCGTTCTCAAAGAACGACGCGAATTTGTTCGTCTCGATTTTGAAGTGTCTATCCTAATATGCGACGCTGATATGGCGTTCTTTTGGATCTAGGTATCTTGTGTTTGTATCTCCTTATTTGCATGCGAGCATGTCTTCAGAGCAAGGCAGCCTCTCCCTCAGTTCCTTCCTTCGTCGAGACAAGCTCTAGACGTCTTAACTAACCAAATCGAGTCTCGAATACAACACGCACTAGAAGAAGACAAATCGCTCGTGGGCGTGTCTCTTGCATATTCGCTTGCGGAGGTGGAACTCATGAAGGATATGGTAGACACAATAGAAGATTTGTTAGAGCTGTGCCGACAGTTGTTTGGGACATCGACGTGGCTGACACAGAGCTGGTCGGGGGTATATACCGACGATGGACCCGGAACACCAGGGGACAGTTGGTATGGGGCGTTGGGTAGAGACAATGGTGTTATGCGAGCACAACATATATTTGCGAGTTAGATTTAGTGTACGATGCTATTATATTCATGTCTGGTAATCTGTCGAAATATATAGAAATTGATGAAAATATCTGTAAAAATCATCAAAGATCAGAAACATTTGAGTAAGCCAAATCTCCAGGTATTTTTAGATTTGTCTTGTAGAAATTGGACAAACCACATTTGAAAAAAGAGAGAAAATTTGGAAATCTGGAACATCCAGATATTTGGTGTTATCTGCAGAATTCTGGTTGGATCTTCAACCACTCAAAATAGCATTGAAAAAACAGCAAAAATATTGAATTATCTGTAAGCTATAAAAACATGTAGGTATCACTAGAAAATGTGAAATGAGAGCTACAAAGTACTGCAAAAAAACTCGAAAACAATGCCTAAAAATGTAACACCAGGAATTTCTTTAATCCACGATGGAAGCTGCTAGTTTCTAGATGTATAGTCAGTAAACAAAATATAGATAGTAAATCAATATGCGTACCTTTTATTCTGACCTCTCTGTATAAACCTGGAATAAGATCAGAACAATATTAGGCTAGAGAGAGAACAAATAAACCTGTTTTCTGTACACCGCCAATTTGTTCCAATACTGCATGAATTGTCACTGGTGCCATTAAGCTGGATTATTTGCATGCCATTTGATAGCACAGAGATCTCCGTAAAAATTGATTAGAAATAATTGCTGGGGGGATCAAAAGTTGACATTAGTGTGAAAGCCTTTAAATTTGTTGGCACTATTCATTTGCTAGGTGGTTTCAGTGGTGGGGGAATAATTGGTACCAGTGGTGCACATGAGGACACCTCACCACAGCTGCTTGTGGTTTGGAAATTAGAACTATCAAAGCTGGAATGAGGGAGTCAATGTGAAGATTTAAGGTGATGGTAAGGAACAGGGTGACGGTAGAACCATTGGTGGTATATATGACAGTATACTGGTATGATAACACATATAGCTAATGATTATTATATTAATCCACACTTACTGTGACTGATTTTTGCTAAGTCCATTTTGCTGAATTCATCTTACTGATACTCCACATATCTGTTTGAGTCTGTAAAAATATGCAAGTAAGCAAGAAAGTGATAATAAATATATAATGTGCAACACCAATCTTGATTATGGAACTTATGCAGCATTTCTTATATGTCAATGAGTTACTTGATCACTGATTTCCGTGATATGTTGTCATTTGTCTATATACACTGGGTGCATAGCGAAATATACCCATGAGAAAAATCTGTAAAAAAAGCTTGAAAACAAAAATACCTTTTTCAAAATATTTCTCCCATAATCATTTTTTGTTATTTTGTTTTTCAAACGGAAGTGTTCACCAAATGGAAGTACTAGTGTTCACCATTTGGATGATGCAAAGAGCCATCCATTTGAAAAAAAAATATGTATGGGAGAAATATCTTGGGGAAGGTATTTCTGTTTTCAAGCTTTTTTCCAGATTTTTCTCATGGATATATTTGGCTATGCAACCAGTGATATTTATATTTCAAGCTTTTTCCACATTTCTAGATTGCAACTTTTCACTGGGCACCATGATGATGGTGTAATGGCAACAAACATTTAGATAAGATTCAGAACAACTCAGCTGGCAGGATTCAATCAAATGTCAGGAAAATAGTCACATAAGGAATTATGTCACATGTAACATGATCATCATTGGACTGCAGCTTTGATTGTGAATCAAAGCTGCAGTTCAAGGATGAAAACAGTCTGGAAGATAATTAGAAATAATTTTTAAAAAATGCTGTGGATAAGGGTTGAATATAAGGAAGATATGAGTTTGAAATGTTTCATAATAAATGCTTAGGATCAATGATAATGTAATTTAGAGTGGATCCTTGGATAATTTTATAAATATTTTCTATATAATATATGAGATAGTAGTACAATGATTTTACTTAAAAATTCCAGACTCAAAGCTGTGAGGACAGGCAAATGATATTAGGGACCACATTTTAAAATTTTGCTTCATGTTTTCCTTAGATATGATTGGTATATTTTTACAAAAAAATCACTGTAAGATCACACTGCAAGTCTAGCTATTATAAGTCGATCCCCACAGTGAGTGGACAAGTTTTGACCCTAGTCACGTTTTATATTCACTGCGGGGATCGGCTTATCTTAGCTCGACTTGTAGTGTGATCTTATAGTGATTTTTTTGTTACAATATACTAATCATCCCTAAGGCAAAACATGAAGCAAATTTTAAAATGTGGTCCCTAATATCATTTGCCTGTCCACCACAGCTTTGAGTCCTGGAATTTTTAAGTAAATCATTGACCTACTATCTCGTATATTATATGGAAATATTTATCAAATTTCCAAGGATCAACCTCTAATTTACCATGTCCATTCGATCCCCAGGCTTTCTATAAGGAAAC